GACTAAATACTGATGATGTTTCACAGTACAAGATGGAGCCAGCTTGGGGATATATTGACTAAATACTGATGATGTTTCACAGTACAAGATGGAGCCAGCTTGGAGATATGTTGACTACACACTGATGATATTTTACAAGATGGAGCCAGCTTGGAGATATGTTGACTATACACTGATGATATTTTACAAGATGAACCCAGGATATATTGACTAAATGCTCAAGATACAGTTGAATCCCAAACTCTGTTTTTAAATATTCTGGTCCAACTAAAACTTTATTTTTTTCTAATGAAATACCCTACATCCCTACTCCTTCTTTTCATAATATTGAGCAACTGGAACTACAGCATCTACTTCTCCTTTCTTTACTCTTCAGTATTTGATCTACAAAGAAAAAACAATGCTCAAACCAATATTCCAATAACAAAATCCTATATTTACTATAACTCAATTACTGCCTATCAACTTTCACTGTCGAATACAGTACGAATGCCACTTATATGGTGGTGGACAGAATTAATAGTTTTCTATCTCTTAAAAACAAATTACCATAAAGTATAACAAATCAGTCACTGCCATGGATTTGGTTGATGTAGATACATTACCGTGATACATGCAGGAAATAACGAAGGTGCTTTAAGTCAAGACTTTAATCAAAATTAGATATTGTTGATATAGATACAATATTATAATACTTCCAAGGACAGAAGAAAGGTGCTTTGTACCTTAAACTATTCAACTTATTTTCATGTTCAGTTGAAAAAAACAGAATAAGTACCTTTAACTCGTTTGTAGAAACTAAAACAAATGAACAGCAAACTATGCATGCGTATGTATTTTAAATTAAATGACTGCCACTCTGATGATGTTTGAACAGTAATAATACTCTATTTATTTTTAGTTCTTCTGAACACTTTAATAGCTACAGCTTTCTAAACAAAAATAAGTGTCAATTTATGACTGACCCAATTCAAGTTAATATTAAAAAACACATTTTGTACAGACAAAAGAGATACAGATATAACTTGAACAATATGTAGTTCTGTTAATATTTGCTACTTAACATCACTTAATGACATATGAAAATAAATGTAAAAAAATCATTCTGTTACTTTCTCACTGCCAAAGTTAGGTTTTATTCTTTAATACCTTGTAATCAGTTGTACTTAACTTCCTTCAACTAATAACTTGCTGTAATTCAGTGAGAAAAGAATGGACTTCCAGAGACTCAGCAACAGGTATCCAAGATCAGAAATAATACTGACTCAATGAAACATCAATATTTTAAACTAAACATTTCTTTTGTTCTTTTTACATAATAAATAAAATAAAAACTTTAACTTACTTACTGAAAACACAAACTACAACTAAATCATCTTTAACTAGCAAAGTACAAACTCCAAATATACTTCCACCACTTTAACCCTCTCTATACAAATACAGGCTCAGTCGAATTGACCAACCACATGACCACTTTTTACTTAGTTTAGCTCTTTCAGCATGGGCTTGTTCCTTGGGACCGACCATTTTGTGCTTGTTATAGTTTTCATGCTATAACTTTTAAATTAGTAAGTGAATGTTAATGAAATTAGGTAGATTATCAATAAACATTACAATGCTTTCATGCGTAAAATATCAAATTTTTTATTAAGTCTAAAGGTTTGTAAAGCAATATTTTTCTCATGCTTTCTTTTCTTTTCACATGTTGCCTACCTATCATGTAAAGTAATTTTGATTTTAAGATTAAAAATACTTTTATGCATCAGAA